AATGCAGTCCACACTCGTGCCCTGTATCCCGATCCCCTCACGACTAGTTTTCCCGATGCAGTGCCTCCGAGCCCAAGTCCATTGCCGGACACAAACGACACGGTTGCAGCTACAGCTTTGAGAAATCTGTCTCAGGAGAATGAGAATTTACGACAGACAGTGGCTGCGCTGAATCGGACAGTGCGAAATTTGGCTCAACAGCAGCAGGACGACCACGTCCGACTAAAACAACAAGAGGAGAAATATCGTGAGGAGTTGGAAGCGTTACGCGAGCATCAAAATCGATTAGCCGAGCATCAAGCCGTTCGGAATAGACAAATGGAACAGTTGGTATGTTTCAATCTGATCAACTCATATACCTTTTAAGATATTATAACTAAAGTTGTGTGAATTCTTGTCTTTTTGTTGATGATGTTTTATAATTATTGGGGGAAATACTGCGATATTTTCTTGTACATGTTTACGGAAGTGTATACGCACAAATGGATTGCGTGGTGCCAAATATTATTATCTTTCTTAGCAATGCTTGAGGGTGTTTGTTTGTTTGTGTGATTGGGCTAAGAATACTGTGAATAATTATCATGCCAATACATATGACTTTCCGGGATACATAAGGAAGCTCTAGCTGATGCAATACTATGTGCGATGGCTATCAGGCAATGTTGCATGTAATATATTATGTGGAATCATGTCCATAACGGTTCTCTTCAAACTAAAACACTAAGTTAATTGGAGGGTTTGATTTATCAAAATTGCTTATTCAATCCTTCAAAATCGCGGGATTTTAAATCTCATGTCGTCCGGGTTTGTACAGACGGCCCGTTGGAAAGCCGATTGCGAAGCAAAGAACACACCATAGCAAATGATGTCGCTTTCAGTGTTGATATTTATACCAAAATAAAATAACCTTAGTCCTAATCCAGTCAATTAAGTCACCTTTGTTGAAAGTTAAAAAACCGGACTGTGCAACATCTGGCTGTAATGTTCTCTCTCACTGGCCTCTGGAGAGTAAACTGTAGTAGCCATATGCTCTACACGCTAGTTAAGCTCATTCTTGAACATCACTACAGGTGAATGAGAATTGGATCCATTCAGTAAACCACATATATCATGTTCAGGCAACTTGTTGAAACGTACCGCATGTCTTCAACACGAAACCATACACATAGCAATTAAGTGCAGAGTTCTATGCTCAGCAAGGCCAGTTAGCATCCGTATTCTCACCTCTAACCTTTACCAGTTTCTTCCCTCGCAAACATTCACCTCTAGACAGTTGTATACACCATGTTCCTTTGACATCACCACAAATCATGAAAACCATTATGTTTCCTATTTTTCGCCATCAAAGCCTTTCTCAGGAATATTTATATATTTGGAATATTGTAAGTGAAAATTTCAGTTTATTTTTTCCGAGATTTGTTCGTTTGCTAAATACCTTATTTTTGTTCTCATCATTTCGTTTAGTTAATTGCGATCTCAAAGTCTTCCCATTGCTAGTTGAAATAAATTAGNTATCGATGGAAATCTTCATAAAAATAAGCTTCTTATGATGTCTAAAATTTATAAACCCGAAAAATTTCAATCGTTCCATGTTGACAAGAAAGCACCCACCGCAAATCTTTATTTTGCCATGATTTTGCGCTTAACCAAAATCGTGGTCAAGGAGTTGAGTTTTTTCAGTGGGTATCTGAATATCGGTATTACGTATCTGGATTCTAGACAGGCATTTGCGGTGAATGCAGAATGTGCTTGACGGGATGCGATCTCAAGACAGTGCTCTTGGCGTAGGATAATAATCCTCTAACTGCATCCTTCATTTTGGTTTGCAAATTATTCACATTAAAGACATCTAACCATTGTAATGAAACATAACTCAAACGGTCTTAAGCGGTTACACTACCAGCCACAATATATATGTATGTATGCGCGTATGCATATACAAAGTTCCATTTGTACCGAGCAGTAACAGACTAATCGAAGGGCTCCCAAACAGCACGACAAAAGGCTACGTTAGTCAGTGTTGCTATAACTCAGAAACACATCCACCGGGATGAAAATTTGGTGATCTTTATCGCTTTCCCACTAACACTCGAGCAAAGGTTCATTAGGAGATAGAAGACATTTACGAACTCCAAATTACTTTTTCCCCAAGTGTATGGAGTAGCAAAGGGATTGCCTCGTGGGCTTAAAACCACTTATATTCGATTCCGGCGGGTCAAATTCATTGAACGTAATTGTGTAGTTGAGTAAAGTAGGATCAATAATTGGAAATTGTATAAGGTTCACCGAAGTGTACGTTAATGGAAAACAAAAATATAACTCGTTTTTATTATTATTACCCGGAACTACTATCAAGAGTATTAGTATTAAATCTTTATCAGCACGAATCAATTTATGGTCAAGGCCATTGACTAGAGAATGTGTCGTCCACATAGACTGATTTCTCTGTTATCAGTTGAAGTGCTCGCATTAGATAGTGGCTGAACAATGTAGTATACAACAACTTCGGCGCGTATGTTTCAAGATGCGAGAGGAGATTGTAAACTGCGGCTCGATACTGAAGCGTACCCGTAAACGGAAGTTCATTGATGCATGTGTAAAAAGCATTTTTGTTCCTATTACTGACTAAATTTAGCTAATGATGCAAATTCACTCATGTGTAATTGGGGTTAATTTCATTTCAGCCTTCGTAAACGGGGCAATAAAACAGAAATATATTATAAAAATTCCGAATGCTTGACTAGTATCGCTTGATGGGATCAGCATACAATTTCGCTGCACGACTTTGATCTTCGTTCTCATTATGGATCGGTACATTTCTTTGGAATGAATAGTGAAAAGCTGTTTATAGCTTCATTTTTTGTTTAAACTGGATCGTATTCAGCCTAAAAACTGACGGGGAATGCATCAATTAAACGCTCGGTTGAATAACAAACATAGCGGATAGTTGGGATAGCTCATCTAAGACGTGAAGGAATCATGGATTCCTCATTTAGCAATGGACGATATGATTTGTGGAGTCGATCAAAAGTGTGATGCATAGTAAAATCATCGGGGACTGTCTAATTTGGTTTCTGTCAAACTCGTGGGTGAACTTGAACGAATGATCAGTAACCTTTGTTATTTGTGTCCTGCTATTTTGCAAGGATTAGGCCAAATTCGACAATTTACATCGGGGGAAAAGTTCAACAAGCAATCAACAACAAAAGTTAATGATTTATAAGGGCACGGGGGAAGATAGTGACTGGAAAGCGCGCAACTCAGATGGGTAAATTCATTTTCTATCTCACTGATGTAGATCTAAACGTGGAGGAGTAGACGGTTCGAAGTGAAATACGTGTTGATCGGAGGAGGAAGAACGGTCTGCGGAAAATCTACCATAAACAACCTCATGAGTTTTGGAAAACATTGGAGTAACTGTTATCGGGTTGTCGTAAGCCGGACATTATACGAACATTGTGTTATGCCAATGGATGTGTTGCGTGCTTTTGAATTGACGCTCAGATCCTACTGCGTATCACCAGTTTCAACGAGGTAGTCCCGAAGGTTTAAGATTATTTCATCATCACTTGTAATTTAACCTATGCTGCTATTGTTTTTGGAGAATAAATTAACCACGGGTTTGATAATTATTCCATTGTGTTAACCCAAATCGCTTCTCTAGGGGGTTCTGACCAAATCGGACAATTACTTCAAGCATCCTGAATAAATTGATCAACACGCAAAATTCAGTAAAATGAAATAAAGTTCGGATCCAATCAGCCACGCTTACGTCATTTATACATTACAATGCGAAACGTGCATTTAGTGTATTGAATGTTCATAATATGTGATGCCTGATACTCGTGAAGTGATAAGAAGGAAAACCAAGAAAGTGGAGTTCGCCATCATTTGATAGGGATGCTTTCTGTCCGTCATCACATCCTACCTATAGAACTTTGATTTCAATGTCCAACGCGGTGTCTTCTGTTGAACCACGAACTTCTGTCAGCACACTGGCATGATAGGAGCAGATGCGGTCATCACGAACGATTGCAATTTTCCTGGTTTGCTGAGCCCAGCTAGTGTTGAAAACATGAATCAACTTTCTTATCCCGATCGGTTCGGCTATTGCTAGGTTGCGCCCAAAAGCGTTTGGTTCAGTCAGTCCAACTTCAATGCCCCGTGATCGATCGGTCCGAGTGTGTCCGCCGTCAAGTCATCCTGATGCCGTAACTTAGTAAAACCAATCAAATGACAAATGCCAGTTAACTATGACAAACTCTTACAAATGTGTATTTGTTCAGTTTCAATTCATTCAGAGTATGAATGGAATAAATGAGTGTTCGGGCAGAATTTTCCATACAGCGGTTCTCTTTTTTTGTTTAGTAGTCCCACTGAATATTGATATCATTTTATGGGAAGCATTCATATGTGGTAATTATTTACGTTGATCTGTGACGGATACAATCGATAACATGGCCAAAAGTGACGACGAAGGAGTGTAAGTCACAATTGTATTACCGATTAGGCCACCATAGCCCAAACATCCCACGCCGGTGTTCGTTCATCATTGCATCATTGAGTCACACGCACCTCCAGAGAAGGTCTGCGGCATGAAAACAAAATTAACTCAATGGATAGCAGTGCTATAACGCTACCTATAGGCTACGTTCCGCTACTGAAACAAACCTTAGTCATACTTTCCTATGTTGATGGATGTGGCTGTTTTGTGTGCGACTTGTTGCCTCACAAGAATGATACCTGAGGATTTCTATCCCGTCAGATAGAATGTGAAATGGTCAACCGTCTCACTGTATTCAACAGCGAGAGCATTATCTGATATAATGAGTAGTATACATTACGGACAGCACTCAAGGTTGGAATGCAAATCACACGAATTCTGCGAAATGCCTTTGGATCTGTGGGCAAGTTTGGTACTTAAACTAACATCAAAAGAACACTGTTCCCCTGGGCTGCTCCGTTCATTATCACTCGAACAGCATTTCGCTATTTTTTCACTGTAGACAGGAGGCGGAGTACCAAAACTGTTTGCTGTCCAAACTGTTCGAACTATCCAAAAGATCTCAGCACAAATATTACTGATTTTATCTGTTCCATGTTGTATCCACATTTAGGAATAACAGTAATATTAGATCAATCAACACATGCAACCCCATCCACTCACCCACCTACCCATTCACACGCCAAAAACCTACAAAGAGGAAAGATTATCTCCCCATTGGGACAGAAAACCAACACAGCAAGTGTTAGCAGTGTAAGTGCTACATGTGTCGTTTGAACAAATTCAGTTATATCGCGGATTGCTTTGCTATTTGCTGTCGTTTTGCATGAAAGCAGAGAGTGTTCAAGAGTTCCACATTATTCGGTTTGTTATGAACTCGAACTCGGGAAGACAACTAATCAAGTGGAATTCTAAAGCATTATAACTTGTAAACGTTTTCTGACACAAAGAATGAAGTTGAATGATAATCCGATAGAACGAGTGAGGTTAGAGCTGAACGAAGGATCATCTTATATCACATTGCAATCAGATTTCCAAAGTCAATTTTACGAGAACAAAGGTGTCTACGTTATCTGGCTTTTTTACGCTGAAAAATAATTTTTTGAGGTTTTTTTAATTCTGTCGTCTTCAATTTAATTGCATCATTCTAGTTCATCATGACTGAAAATAACCTGTCTGAACGAATAACTTGGTTTAAAACTCCATAATAAACCCAATGTATAATAAGAACACAAGTTCATGGATGAGCTGTTGTTTTTGATTGTTTCGTACTCCTGCCGGTAAGGATCATTTACGGGTTTGTTGTAAGCGTTCAAATATTTTCGCGCGTAGTCATCAAATCACTCGGAATGGGTAGAGTGGAATGTGTCAGCCCCAAAAGTGATGGCAACGTGTCTGTGTTTTTGGTGAAATCGACTGTTTCGAGTGTCGGTGAATATGAAGAGGATGTTGGTGATCAATTGGGAGTCAGGTTAAGTGAATCGATTGAATCGGTCGCCTTCAGAAGCGAAAAGGTAAATGTCCATCACGGTTGTGGTGGCTGGCATGTAAGGATACTGCTTTGAAGAACTTGACGGGTGGAGTGGGGGTTGGCGTGGGACCAGTTTCACTTTCAGGTGATTGACGCGAATATTGTTCGGGTAGTATTTGTATTCTATCAGGTGTGCGGCCCAACCTTGTGCCAAAAAGAGCTGCATGAATACTACCAGGTAGCCCAGGCCAAGGCAGTTGTGTTTTCTTTTGGAATTCACGACCGGACCCGTAAAGCAGCGAGGTAGTGTGTGAAAACTGCAATCTATTGGGGGGGGCAGTGTTCAGGTCATCGTATCTTACTCCCTTTGTACAGAGTCAAACATCCAGGTTGCCTAATGGACCTAGATGTCCAAATGAGCCGGTGAATTGTCAAATTCAGAAAAGTGTGTGTACTTCATACGAGTAACTTTTTCGAAATCAGTGATGGTAATCAGCTCCCCTAATTGAACTGCTAGTGGTTCACCGACCCGGTTATAGTCCCGGATATTGGCTTTTCCTCATCTCATTTGGGAGGGAAACACCTCAAACACGAGAAGGAATTGATTGAGGCTTCCTCATCAAAGGCTATTTGAGATGATTAGTAGTAAAGGAGCATTTCACGAACTGTGAGTGTTGACCATCCACAACCTTAGGCACCCATCCCCAACCATACTGAGGCCTTTGTAGTCCGTATTTGAGTGATTATGGACAACGAAGAAACTTTCTCAAATGGACTC